TCTCCCTGGACCCTGCATTCACTAAATCCGGTCTCCCCGGTCCCTGCATTCATTATATTTGGTCTCCCCACAGTACACACAACATGGAAATGTAATTTCCGGGCACAATGCATGTAGTTGTGGCACCTAGTGGGGGTTAAAGCAGGCAGTGAGGAGGGGAGACAGTGCCTCCTTAATGTCTGGCAAATGCTATTAAAGTGTTACTAAACCCCGGACCCTGCATTCACTATATCTGGTCTCTCCACAGTACACAAAACATGGAAACTATTTTAGTAAATATAAACTGCTAAATACTAGAAAAGGTATTTAGCAGTTTATATTTACTAAAATAATCAGCAGTTAGAGCAGTCTTGTGACTTCTATCAGTGTCCAGCAGAGCACATGTTAAAGCATGTAGGAGGAGTTCTGCTCTAGGAGGATGCAGGACCCCTAAACAGTCCTGATTGGCACTGTGCTGATCACATACAATCTCCCAAGAAAAAATAACCAACCTCTCTAGCAATACACACCAAACTGAGCATGTGCAGAGTGACTCCACGTGTTATGTCTTATCAGGAGAAAGAGGGGGGACACTGGAAGAAGCGGAGGATCAGAGAAGACAGGATCAAACAGCCTTTTTACAAAATGCAGAGGATTAGCTTCCTAGGATCCACAGCGAGTATAAAAAGCATGCTTTACTGCATCTAAATCACTTATTAATACCTCCATATTTGAAGCTAATTAAAAGGAAATTTTGAGGTGGTACATGGTCTTGGCTTCGATCGCTTCCTTTGTCCGGGGGGCTTCACCACTTTACTTTGGGGGCTACGGACTGGAGGGGACAGCGTTCCACATTTGGTGGCAGTGCCCCAAGGTGAGGTGCTTTTGGATCTGAATCTATAATATAGTCGATTCCTTTACTCAAGTGAAAGTGTTACTAAACCCAGGACCCCTCCATTCATATATATCTGGTCTCCCACAGTACAGAGAACATGGAAATGCTATTATTTTAGTAAATATAAACTGCTAAATACCTTTTCTCTTCAACAGTTAAAGCAGTCTTGTAATTTCTATCAGTGTCCAGCTGAGCACTGGTTAATTTTATAGGAGGAGTTTTCATTCTCCTCTGACCATCTTATGAGGCTGCATAACCTCTGACCCTCAGTCTGGACAGTGCTAAATGACCCTGGGCCAATCACATGCACCCTCCCAAAGAAAAAAAAACTCTCTAGCACAAAACTCCAAACTCAGCATGTGCAGAGTGACTCCTAGAGCTCTATGTTATCAGCAGATGGATTGGGGACAATAAAAGAAGGGGAGGATTAGAGAAGACAGGATCAAACAGCCGTTTTTCACACAATGCGGAGGATTAACCCCTTAGCTTCCACAGTGAGTATAACAAGCATGCTTTACTGCATATACTGACTGATTTTACTGTTGTGGGTTTAGTAACATTTTATTATTAGTGAATAGATTGGATAGTATACTATGTTTACTTGTTTTAAACTTTTTTTTACATTTCTTCAGTTACTTCCTACTTTCCATGCCTAAGCAAATTATGTCATACATCCCAGGAGTTTTCAAGAGGGGAGGAGGGGCTTTCTCAGCTAAGCAAACCCTCTCCTGCTTGCATGCCTGAGCTAAGGGCAGGTTGATTCCAGGAAGTAAATATTACATGAATCATCTGCCCTTACTCAAGATGGCCATGGCCAGAAATGCTAGGGGGTGTTTTTCCAAAGTGATTTCTCAACAAAATAAAGAATGGGCACAGGTCAGCAGTGTAAAGTTACAGAGGAGGTCTAGTACAAGAATTCTACAGTACAAGAGGAGGTCTAGTTACTCGGACGTTTTGTGGCGATACCTGACGTGTGTGATTTGAACACCATTTACATATGTGGGCATGGCCTACGTATGCGTTCACCACTATGTGTGGGCACGAGGGGGGGGGGGGGTTTAAACAGTTTTTTTTGCACTGTTCCTTTAAAAAAAATTGTAAGCACTTTTATTCTTATCACAAGAAATGCATGCATACCTTGTGATAGAAATAATTAGTGACAGGTCCTCTTTATGGAGAGATATCACAACTTGATTACTGCAACTCCCTCCTCACTGGCCTGCCTCACCACAGGCTATCCCCTCTTCAGTCGTGAATACGGTGGCCAGACTCATCCACCTCACCAACCGCTCTGTTTCCGCCACCCCCCTCTGCCAATCCCTCCACCGCTTCCGATTGCCCAATGGATCAAATTCAAAATCCTAACACTGATGTACAAAGCTGTCCATAACTCTGCCTCGAACTACATCACCGACCTGATATCCAAATACCACCCAAAACGCACCCTCCGCTCCTCACAAGACCTCCTTCTCTCTAGTTCCCTGGTCTCCTCCTTCCATGCCCACCTCCAGGACTTCTCCAGGGCATCACCCATCCTCTGGAACTCCCTACCCCAATCTATCAGACTATCACCTACTCTCCTCTCCTTTAGGCGCACCCTGAAAACCCACCTCTTCAGGGAAGCCTACCCCGCCCTCTGCTAATTGCCGATCTCCTCCACTCCTCCTACCATTCCATCCCCCACAGCTATTCCTCCTGTACCACTATCCCCTCCCTCCTAGATTGTAAGCTCCAAGGAGCAGGGTCCTCGAACCCCTCGTGTATCGCATTGTATTGTTATTGTACTGTCGCATGTTCTGTCTCCCATTGTAATGTACAGCGGTGAGCGAACTGTTGGCGCTATATAAATACTGTATAATAATATTATGGGGTCAACAGGACCCCACATCTCTCCTCTGCAATGTAAAGCATTGGATCAAAAAAAAGCATTGATCTAGTGCTTTAAAAAAAAAAAAAAATGGCCAAAACCAGAAGTGACATAGCTCCAGTCCTCCAAAGGCATGTAGAGTGGAGGCCATCTTTCTTTCACTAATCTCTATGCCCAGTGCTGGGATAGTTCAATGGTTTCTCAGGTAAGGCTGCAAACTACCAAGCGGCCAAAGCGGGCAGGCGGCGGTGGCGAGGTTTTTTTCGGCACCTGTATCGGTGCTTTGTTTCATATCTGCTGATGGCCGAAAAGGGTGTTTTCCGCCAAAACTTTTTCGACCACTGAAATTTTGGTGCATCCCTATCATTTATCCACTGTGATGATAGAGAGACATGCCTGCAGATCAACCTTGGTGACAACTATGGCCCCCCATCAAAGGTACATTGAAGTGAGCGAGTATAGCCACCCAAGAAAAGGAAGTGTGCTTTTCGCAGAATTACCAGGCAAAGATAACAGAAGAAAACTAGTACAGCCACCACATCTATAGACTAGTGAGCTGTAATACTGAATATTAAATATTTGTTTTTGGTTTAGGTAAACTGTAAACACTTCCCATTTGCAATCCCTATGTCAACATTCCTCAGCAAGATACTCCAAGGTGGGAATATATTCAGAAACACCCTTTACTTTGAACTATGAAGGCTAGCTGATGACACTTTGCACAGCTCTCAAACCTGACTGTCACTGATGATCCAATCAAAGTGGTTCCTGATCATATGAGCACAATGTCAGCTATGATCACATGCAGGCTTTACTGGCAAAATACTGTAAGCCTGCAGATGTCTCTGCAGAAGAAGATAACATTGTGAATATGTTTAATGTTGGAAATATATATATATATATATAACTATATTGCTAAAAAAAAAAATGAAAAGGAACAATTTGAAAACACATCCAAACTCAATGGGGAAAAATATAATTCTGGATATCTATACTGATATGGACTGGGTAATGTGTTAGGAACGTAAAGACGCCCCATCGTTTGATGGAAATGAAATGATCAAACTATAGAGGACTGAATTCAAAGACACCCCCGAAAATTAAAGTGAAAAATGATGCAGCAGGCTAGTCCATTTTGATGAAATTTCATTGCAGGAACTCAAAATGGTACTTTGTATGGCCCCCACCTGCTTGTATGCATGCCTGACAACATCGGGGCATGCTCCTAATGAGATGACGGATGGTGTCCTGGGGTATTTCCTCCCAGATCTGGACCAGGGCATTACTGAGCTCCTGGACAGTCTGAGGTGCAACATGGCAGCATCAAATGGACCGAAACATGATATCCCAGAGGTGTTCTATATAGGGTTGCCATCTATTGATCACTTAATAATCGTAGAAATGTTTACAATCGGGTCCTTCATTTCCACCCATAAGGGCCTTACGTATTCCTGTCATCCGCGCCCATGGGTGGGTCTGGAATCAGCCACCCACAGGATATTAGAAGATATAGGTGGATTTAGGAATGTAGGTATTGGCTCTGAGGAAGAGGCACGTCCTCGAAATGCGTCAGCAGTTGGAGGTCTAGGAATCCCATTACGGATATCATTCAGTAAGACTGGACCTTGCTGTACTTTGTATGATGTGCACTTGACACTGTTATCCTTTGTGAGTATATTACTACTTCTTTTGTACAATAACTGGTTTTTATAGGTAATGCAGCAGACCTGTGCGCCCTCTGTTTGTTTCTTTGCATGCAGTACATTTGGATTTCCCTGGTCCGTTGAGGTCAGCAAGGTGCGCACCTTTAAAGCATCCCCTATGTGGTTCTAGCCTTTGCGGAGTCCATCTTCCAGCGCAGGAATATATACATATGCCATGTTCGATGCCCATACATGGATTGAAATTCGGACTGTCTGAACGTTGGACCGACTTTAGTGTCCTCAGATTATTGAAGCCTATCATGTAGAAACAAATGATATCAGTGATCAATACACCAAGAGCAGGACATTCTAAGCTGCAAGGATTCAGTTCCTGAAAGAAAATTGTGTCTTTACATTAACAAGTAACAAAGAATGAGAAACACGAAGTTCACCTGCAGACAATAAACTGCACAGCATGCCACAGTCCAAGGACATGAGAGCTAATAATAGAGCAGGCAGGAAACGTCTCAGCCAATCACAGGGAGAGGAAGGGAAATCACCATGCGCTGCAACCAATGAGCATTCAGCTTTCTCCTGACTGAAGAGAGGGAGGAGTCTACAAGCAGGAAGTGTTCTGTACACAGAGCTGTACAAGGAGGATAACTGTTCATCAGAGAGCAGGTAATACTGACATAATATATATAGAGAGCACTGAGCTGTGTACAGGGGAATGTGTCCTATATAGAGAGCACTGAGCTGTGTACAGGGGAACGTGTCCTATATAGAGAGCACTGAGCTGTGTACAGGGGAACGTGTCATATATAGAGAGCACTGAGCTGTGTACAGGGGAATGGATCATATATAGAGAGCACTGAGCTGTGTACAGGGGAACGTGTCCTATATAGAGAGCACTGAGCTGCGTACAGGGGAATGTGTCCTATATAGAGAGCACTGAGCTGCGTACAGGGGAATGTGTCCTATATAGAGAGCACTGAGCTGTGTACAGGGGAATGGGTCCTATATAGAGAGAGCACTGAGCTGTGTACAGGGGAACGGTCATATATAGAGAGCACTGAGCTGTGTACAGGGGAATGGATCATATATAGAGAGCACTGAGCTGTGTACAGGGGAATGTGTCCTATATAGAGAGCACTGAGCTGTGTACAGGGGAATGGGTCCTATATAGAGAGCACTGAGCTGTGTACAGGGGAATGGGTCCTATATAGAGAGCACTGAGCTGTGTACAGGGGAATGGATCATATAGAGAGAGAACTGAGCTGTGTACAGGGGAATGTGTCATATATAGAGAGAGCACTGAGCTGTGTACAGGGGAATGGGTCCTATATAGAGAGCACTGAGCTGTGTACAGGGGAATGGATCATATAGAGAGAGAACCGAGCTGTGTACAGGGGAATGGGTCCTATGTAGAGAGCACTGAGCTGTGTACAGGGGAACGTGTCCTATATAGAGAGAGCACTGAGCTGTGTACAGGGAATGGGTCATATATAGAGAGCACTGAGCTGTGTACAGGGGAATGGGTCATATATAGAAGCACTGAGCTGTCAGGGGAACGGGTATATAGAGAGCACTGAGCTGTGTACAGGTGAACGGGTCCTATATAGAGAGCACTGAGCTGTGTACAGGGGAACGGGTCCTATATAGAGAGCACTGAGCTTTGTACAGGGGAATGGGTCATATATAGAGAGCACTGAGCTGTGTACAGGGGAATGGGTCATATATAGAGAGCACTGAGCTGTGTACAGGGGAATGGGTCCTATATAGAAAGCACTGAGCTGTGTACAGGGAATGTGTCCTATATAGAGAGCACTGAGCTGTGTACAGGGGAATGGGTCCTATATAGAGAGCACTGAGCTGTGTACAGGGGAATGGGTCCTATGTAGAGAGCACTGAGCTGTGTACAGGGGAATGGATCATATATAGAGAGCACTGAGCTGTGTACAGGGGAATGGGTCATATATAGAGAGCACTGAGCTGTGTACAGGGGAATGGATCATATAGAGAGAGCACTGAGCTGTGTACAGGGGAACGGGTCCTATATAGAGAGCACTGAGCTGTGTACAGGGGAATGGATCATATAGAGAGAGAACTGAGCTGTGTACAGGGGAATGGGTCCTATGTAGAGAGCACTGAGCTGTCTACAGGGGAACGTGTCCTATATAGAGAGAGCACTGAGCTGTGTACAGGGGACCGTGTCCTATACAGAGAGCACTGAGCTGTGTACAGGGGAAGGTGTCCTATATAGAGAGCACTGAGCTGTGTACAGAGGAACAGGTCATATATAGAGAGCACTGAGCTGTGTACAGGCGAACGGGTCCTATATAGAGAGCACTGAGCTGTGTACAGGGGAACGGGTCCTATATAGAGAGCACTGAGCTGTGTACAGGGGAACGGGTCCTATATAGAGAGCACTGAGCTGTGTACAGGGGAACGGGTCCTGTATAGAGAGCACTGAGCTGTGTACAGGGGAACGGGTCATATATAGAGAGCACTGAGCTGTGTACAGGGGAATGGATCATATAGAGAGAGAACTGAGCTGTGTACAGGGGAACGTGTCATATAGAGAGAGAACTGAGCTGTGTACAGGGGAACGTGTCATATATATAGAGAGCACTGAGCTGTGTACAGGGGAATGTGTCATATATAGAGAGAGCACTGAGCTGTGTACAGGGGAACGGGTCCTGTATAGAGAGCACTGAGCTGTGTACAGGGGAACGGGTCCTGTATAGAGAGAGAACTGAGCTGTGTACAGGGGAACGGGTCCTATATAGAGAGCACTGAGCTGTGTACAGGGGAATGGATCATATATAGAGAGCACTGAGCTGTGTACAGGGGAATGGATCATATATAGAGAGCACTGAGCTGTATACAGGGGAACGTGTCCTATATAGAGAGCACTGAGCTGTGTACAGGGAAAGGTGTCCTATATAGAGAGCACTGAGCTGTGTACAGAGGAACAGGTCCTATATAGAGAGCACTGAGCTGTGTACAGGGGAACGGGTCCTATATAGAGAGCACTGAGCTGTGTACAGGGGAACGGGTCCTATATAGAGAGCACTGAGCTGTGTACAGGGGAACGGGTCCTATATAGAGAGCACTGAGCTATGTACAGGGGAACAGGTCATATATAGAGAGCACTGAGCTGTGTACAGGGGAACGGGTCCTGTATAGAGAGCAATGAGCTGTGTACAGGGGAACGGGTCATCATATAGATAGCACTGAGCTGTGTACAGGGGAACGGGTCATATATAGATAGCACTGAGCTGTGTACAGGGGAATGGGTCCTATACAGAGAGCACTGAGCTGTGTACAGGGGAACCCATTTACTCTGATACCCCTAACCAAAATCTAGTGGAACCAATTGCCTTCAGAAGTCATCTAATTAGTAAATAGTCCACCTGTGTGTAATTTACTCTCAGTATAAATACAGCTGTTCTGTGAAGCCCTCAGAGGTTTCTTAGTGAAGCCATGAAGGCCAAGGAACACACCAGACAGGTCAGGGATAAAGTTGTGGAGAATTTTAAAGTGGGGTTAGGTTATAAAAAAAAATATCCCAAGCTTAGAACATCTCACAGAGCACTGTTCAATCCATCATCGGAAACTGGAAAGAGTGTGGCACAACTGCAGACCTACCAAGACATGGCCATCCACCTAAACTGACAGGCCGGGCAAGGAGAGCATTAACCACTTGCCGACCGCAGATAGCTAAATGATGGCTTCACTGCGGCCGGCCAGTTCTGGGATGGTGTCATATGACGTCCTCCCAGAACATGCCCTCCTGCGCGCCCCCGGCGATCTCCGTGTAGTTTGTAGTTTTAAAATTATAAATTCTACACCGAAGAGCTTTATATTGTGAGAATCACAAGACCCAGACCTACATTTTGATGCATAGTATGTCTCTGAAATATTACAAATGAAGGCACAGTCGCTGTTTATAAATTGCCCTTCAAATTTGAGGTGGCTAGAGTGGAGTTTCAATGAATGTCAATGGGCGGCGTGAGTTGCAAACAAATGGTCATATTGTGAAAACTATCAGGACTGTGGCTTAGCCTTGGACATTTTTAGTGGCAGCAGGGATAGCTGAACGTTTTGATATAAGATTTGTGTAGGTGGGCTTGAAAATGAGGGAGTGATGGCAGTTTAGAAATCATGTCCTGATTTTTCAGCTCACACTCTAGTTTTGAACATTCCGCCATTCATTCCTATGGGGCCAATTTCACCACAAAAACGGCAATATTTTGTGAACCATTCAGCGAAACATTCCACAAAGTAATAGCACACCAATCGGGAACAATCCGCACGTTTCCGTATATTACTGTCTATGTAGTGTAAAAACTGTGGGAGGAGTTTAGGGTGGTAAATTTGGCTATAATAATAAGAATATATATGTGAGATAAACAGGAAGTGGTCTGTCATGCAAGAACACTTAATAATCCACAAAGTGCTTCTGTTCCTACATGTTTCACTAAAACATTAACTTCTGTAAAATTCTTCTTCCCATTCAAGTACATGGGGTGCTCAGCTTATGCCCTGCTATTGCATGCAAAGCATGTGGTTGCTGCGCACTAGTGCGGGGTTCAAGGGGTTAAAGCAGGCAGTGAGGAGGCGATACGTCTCCTCACTGCCTATCAAATGATGCTCTCTGAGGAGCGATCCAAATGCAGATCGGTCTTTTAGAGAACAAAGCTAGTGTTAATGAGCCTGCAAATATTTTTTTTTTCACTGTATATACCTTTATTGATCATGTACTGTCATGAAGGCTGCATGTGGTCCCCAAGCTCTCAGGTGAATAATTCTGGCTCAGACAGATTTTAATATAAAGGGATGCTTTAGTGTAGTAAGACGGTATTATTATACAAAGTTCTCTTTGCTGTACCAAAAAAATCCTTGTCATAAAGCATTTAAATACCATCCTGTTAAGTGGAAGTACTTTTCATTCCTGTCTTATCGCAGTTTGGCATCCTGTTATTTTCAACCAAAAAAAATATATATATTTGGATACACTTCAAACGTGAAAGTACTCTGCTTTACGAACCTGAAAAAGCAGAAAGTTATAGTAAGTAAGTAAATGGTTTGCTAAGAGAGACGAAAAGTAAAAAAAAAAAAGATATTGTGCACTTAGGATTATTATGCATGGTTAGGTAGAATTTCGGTCAGTCAGCAAAAAAAAAAAAAAAAGCTGAAATATTTGAATGTGAACTTTCTTATGTGCTCAAAGTTTTGTCATTCTGATCAGCTTGTCTTGTGATCCTGACACCCCTGCTAAACAGAACAGTTAGATCCCAGATCTCCACAGCAATCCAAGACCTTTATTCGTTCCAGGGCACACCTCAACCTGCTGATTTGACTGTGAAGCACACTAATCCGTGCCCATTGTGTTCCATATTAGGCTGCATTCACGCTATAGCAGCATGTTAACGCATGCTAAATTGCATTTTATGCTTGCATTGCAGTTCATTGACAATTGCACTCAATCATGGCAAGCAGATGCGAGTGTTTTGCAGAAATAGACTGCTCAGGAAATATTGACAAAAAAAAGTGCAATGCTGAAAAAGGTGCATGAGATACTTGCTACATTTGTCATGCGTAGTGTAGCCCATTGAAAGAAATGAGCTGCCCTATGCATGTAACACATGGCCATTTTGATTCATTTTTACATTATT